GGAGACACGCAGGGAGGCGACGCAGCCTCCGGAACGGAGGGCAGCTCTCCCCTGCGCCACGGGAGGGGTGCAGAAAGCAGGGCAGCGTTATAGAAAATATGTGACCTGGACGCTGTGTGAACTCAGTATAGTCATATTCGGAAGAAAACACGGGCAGTCTCCTATAGGCAGCAGCACAGTTTTAAGCAGCTCTAGGCAAAGCCAACATTTCCTGGCAAGTAGCAGGATTTGGAGGAGCTACCGCAGATAGAGGCAGCAAGCAGCCCCTCGCTTTCTGTTTCACCACCTTGGAAAAGCATGTTTAATTCCCTTTAAATTTAAAAATCCAACCAAGATGATTACCCCTTTACTGAGAGCTTTGTTAACCCAGTCCTTTGGAGAAGGTTCACATGGGTCAGGTTCACAGGGGTCACTTCCCTGCAGGTGTCTGTATTAGCCCCCTCTTCTGCCTTTCTTCTCATCTCAGGTGTCCACATTCCTTCACCTTTAAGAGAACCTATGCAAATCGAACCCATCCACATGGAACTATGAATCTCATTTTTAACACTGCCTTTCAGTTTAACTGTAACAATCTGAAAATACCACAGCTAACTCTTTATAAACCTTGAAATGCCCTGCAGGCAAAACTCAGCATGTCTGAATGAAGAGCCTGAACATTGGATCTGCAATTTGTGCCTATTCCCAAATCTTTGGTCATTTTTGCAGATTCAATCATGGAAATGTGTACATGTGGATTACAAAATATATGGCTCAACACAACATACTCCTGTGCAAATATTAGAAGAAAATTAAATGTATCAGGCAAAACTCACAGCATCAGTTGTAGAGACCTACAGCAACAAAGCAGGACAAATGCAAACCACAGCCTTGGTGGATTACATAGCTATCACCAGAATAATTTAAGAATAGTATTCATTATATAAAAAGGCATAACCAGTTTTCCATGAAATTATTTAAATGCTTGGTGAGGAAAGTTCCACATTGACAAAGAGGAAAGTTACTATTAAGATTTCGGCTTCATTTTTATCTGGCAGAAAAAGTTTTTTTTTTTTTTTTTTTTAATTATTCTAATTTACTTTGTTAGTTTACTGGGCCCACTACCTCCCTGAAAATCATAAGAATGTATGTCATGGTTTTACAAAGTCAGAAATTTCATGGCTGTTTTTAAACTTTAGGGCACAGTATTCAGATCAGGAAGTTAAGACTCAACGTAGGTAAGTAAATGTCTTAATTCACAACTTTCTTCTCTCTTTTGGAGCAGCAGTGGTAAGTAACTATATGCATACTCCTTGTAAAAGATTACATCACTTTGTATGTATAAACAAAGCTATTTGCTTCTTCCCCAACAAAAAAATACCTCCCACTTCTCTAATGGATTACTTATGTAAAAAGGTTAAGTTACCTGAGGAAGATTAAAGACCAATTTATTTTGCATGTTACAGAATATGTACACAATGATGACGACAAAACTTCTTTACATTTAATTGTAGGATGAGATTTTTAAGTAGCATGGTGATAGAATAAGTTGTAGGTTTTGCTCATTATGAGAAATACCCCTAAGTTAGTGCTTGTGTGCATGTAACAAAATTATATCTTGAAGGGAAGGGCTCTGGAGCAGACACTCGTGCCAGAGCACCTTGTCTAGAGGCGAACAACTGTGGCAAAAGCCGCTGAACAAGAAAGCGTAGGGAGCGAGAGGCAGCCCCAGGGCTGACCGGCAGTGCTGACCTCCAGGTCGGAGGCAGCTCTCATTCAGGAGCCGGCAGGGCAGGCGGGAATTCAAAAGCTGCCCCCAGGGAGTGCGAGTGACCCGGAGTGTGGTGCGGCAGTTAGCGCAGGCAGGGAGTCTCCTCCCAGGTGTGGAGAAGAATTCTCTCCCCTGACTCTTCCACCAGCGGGAGATCAGGTGAAGGCATGGTCTCCACTCGGCAGAGAGCTTCCACCAGGAAGACTGTGGCGACACAGACTGAGCCATCTCAGTAGCATGCGGCAGTCCAGGTTTCTGGCTGTGGGGTTTGTCTGAGCCTCTCCATGTTACCAGGGAGCAGTGAAAACATCACCTGCGTTAGGTGTGAGCAGGTGGACGACCTGCTCAGCCTGGTGGTGGAGCTGAAGGAGGAGGTAGAAAGGCTAAGGGCCGTCAGGGAATGTGAAAGAGAAGTAGACTGGTGGAGCTATGTTCTGCAATCTTCCCAGGAAAGCCACTCAGAGAACCCGCCAATTCAGTCTGTAAATCCAGCACCCTCTTGCCATAGGGCAGAGGGAGCAGAATTAACAGTATCAAGAGACAAACAACAATGGAAACAGGTCCCTCTCTGAGGTGGTGGGAGAACCCTTCCATGGTCCACCTCACCTCCACCAGTGACCATGTCCAACAGGTATGAGGCCCTGGAACTTGGGGATCAGATAGATAAGGTCATAAACCAAGGCCCATCTAGGGAGCTGTCTACAGAGAGGCAGTCAGGTCCACGCTCTGAGGTTGCTCCCCCTAAGGAGAAAAGGAGCACCTAGAAGAAGCGGTGGGTGATGGTTGTAGGTGACACCCTTTTGCAGGACATGGATGCACCGATCTGTAGACCTGACCCCTTATCCAGGGAGCTCTGCTGTTTGCCAGGGGCCCAAAAAAAGGATGTTACAGAAAGGCTCCCAAGGCTTGTCCAGGAGTCTGACTACTACCCCTTGGTACTCTTTCATGTGGGCACAAATGAT